GATAAGTGTCAGTCTTCATTTGAGCATATAATAAAGCTGTTTTAGAGACTATTAAAGTCCCTCTTCTAAAGATTTAACATTCCCAATATCTTTATATCTCTTTCACTTGTTTTATTTCCAGTTTTCTTAACATCCTTGTAGTTCTTTGAACCATTCCAGTTTTCCTGAAACCTTCTTAAAATGCATACTGAATTCAACACACTTTTGATACAACCTTTTTTTTTTTTGCAATCACATTCTACTGCTAATTTCTCTACAGTTCACTGTTCAATATCTTTTTCATAAGTACTGTTATCACACCAGGTATATAAATATCCCCTACCCTTTATCTGAGCATTTATCTGAGCATCTGAGAATATTTTGTATTCAATGGACACAACTTTGAATTCATTCTATTATTTTTAGTTGGTTTCCCTAAACTATCAAAATATTTAAAAAATTATTCCTATCTTTTTAAATTCCATCTATCTTAAATTTCATACGTACTTTGCCCTCCTCTTCGTCTAAGTGATTAATAAAATTGTTGAAGAGTAGAGGGTTCAGGATTGATTTGCATGGTTTCCCCTTTGATAACTTCAGTCCAGTTAAATGAAAAGTCACTGATGAGCTCTTGGCACATTTTTCAAATCAGCTAAGTATCTATTTAATGATTATGCAATCAAATCCACACTTAACTTGCTTACTAAATGATAATGTCATGGGAGATTTAATCATATGTGTTACTTAAATTTATAAAATTCCTACAATCTACTGAGGAATTTATCAAATTTAAAAGGTTAGTTGGGTAAGATTGTTCTTTTAGTAATGACCACATTGTTCCAAAAGGGCTTATTCATTTTTTTCTATCAATCTGCTATAGCAGTGATGACGAACCTTTTAGAGACCGAGTGCCCAAACTGCAACCCAAAACCCACTTATGCATCGTCGGGTGCCGGGTGGGTGTGGCCCATTGGATGGGTGTGGCCCATTGGGTGGGCATGGCTGTGGTGGTAACGGCAGAGTGGGTGGGACTAAAAAGATCAATCAATTCCAACTTTGCAAGATCTTTTTTTTTCCCGCGAGAAGTTGAAATTGATTGATTGAACCTTTTTTTTGTACACGGCGGCGGAGGCCTAAAGCGAAAAGGTTTTATAAAACTCAGCTGAAGGCCTAGGACTGCGGCGACGGCACGCGTGCCCACAGAGAGGTTCGCCACCACTGTGCTATAGAATCTTTCTAGTATTGATGTCAGTCTTATTCTCCTATAGTTCCTTTTTCTTTTCCTTGGAGTTTAGGGCAATATTGTCTCTATTTCAGTAGTCTAGTAATTCTTATTGGTAAAGATTGAGCCAAAATAGAAATTTAAAACAGGTAGTCTTCAATTTACGACCACAATTGAACCCAAAATTTATGTTGTTAAGTGAGAAATTTAACTGAGTGTTGTCCCGTTTTATGAGTTTTCTTGCCACATTTATTAAGTGAACCATTGTAATTGTTCAATTAGAAACATGCTTGTTAAGTGAATCTGGTTTCCCCATTAACTTTGCTTGTCAGAAGGTCACAAAAGGGGATAACATGACTCCAGGACACTACAACCATCATAAATGTGAGTCAGTTGTCAAGCATCTGAATGTAAATCACATGACCACGGGGATGCTACAATGGTCATAAGTATGAAAAACGGTCATAAGTCACTTTTTTCATTGCTGTTGTAACTTCGAACAATCACAAAATGAACTGTTGTAAGTTGAGGACTACCTGTAACTTGTCTTTTCTTTATTTTTAAATTTGCAGTACACATTTGAAATTGAGAACTCCAGCTTTTCATTCTTTCTTTAGTATTTCAATTTCCTTACTTCCTTCAAATCTAGCTGTGTTTATAGTAATAATCTAAGAATGTTGAACCCATAGCATTGCAGATGTTGCCGACTTAAAACTTTCAGCAGTTCCAGCCAACATGGGTGAATAATAAGGAATGCTAATATTGTAGTTTGGCAGGATCTTTTGTGGGGATTCTCCACTCCAGCTGTAATTCAGCAGCACAAAAACCAGTGACCAGTGACAAATAAACCTGTTTATTCTGAAAAGTTCCCTAAAACATGGAACTGAAAATGTTCAGTTAGCTAAATATTATTGTTGGCCTATATCTGCATCAAATGCATACATATTTTTCCTGTTGAAAACACTGGGTTTGAAGGAATTTATGTTAGGTTGATTTCTTTAGGGTCTGAAAGGATCTTTTGAATATCTTGCTTGCTATTCACTATTAATTATGGAATTTCAAACGATAATTTTAGAAAACATATGTGAACAAATGTTGATACTTTTTCCTTGAATTTTAAAATTATGAGTGTTATGCTTGAAGGTTTTGTCTGTACTAGTCTACCTTGAGTAAATCTTAACTATAAAGAAATATGTTGAAAGTAAATAACAAACACTGTTTTTCAGCACTGAAGAAAGGTGAAGTTAATACGCATATTAACTACAAGCCACCTAACTTATCATCAACTTCTCATCTGCAGATACAAAGGTAATTTTTAACTATGCACCTTGTAATGTGTAGCAGGGATATGTAACTGTGTATGGCTCTGTAGGTCTCCAGACATTCATCGAAGTTCTGAAGTTACTCTCTATAATTCTAAACAGCATGTACATTCTCTTGTAATTGCATTATACTGTGACTAATGGCAAATGCCTTGCTTTCAATTTAGATTGGTAGCAAGTTTTCACATTGAGGATGCTTAAGTTTCAATGACTTCTATAAATAGATAAAGGCAGTCCTCAACTTATGACCAGTCAAAATTGCTATGGACCCCCCGCAAAAGATACTTATGACCTAGTTCCAAAGTTCTGAGTGTTGCTCTCCCATCACAATACCCCATTTGGGTGCTTAGCAACCAACCTGAGCAGGCTCCATTACTGTCGTAGTTCGAGGACTACTTGTGTAATGTGGAGTCTTCAATTTTTTCAATACCACAGAAACTCAATGTTGCACATGTGAATATTTGAAAAAAAGAAAAAGATGATGTACTATAACTTACCATTTTAGAGATATTAAATCCATTATCAAAAAAGGAATGTGTTATCTATATCATCTTTTCTTCAACCATGAAAAAAATCAGTGTGGAAAAGTAAGTTTTTATAGTCATGTAGGTTAACTAATGCTCACATGCTGCCTTCTTCCGTTACTATCCAGGCCATTCAGTATCACAGATAGGGGGCAGCCTATGTTCATAAGTGTTTTAAGATTTATTGCATTGTATTGCTTTCCTCCATAAATATAAACTATTATTTTTATTTGTTCAGACAAAAGAGGGTTATACTAAAGCACTTTATTAGGATGGCATTTATATCTGTGTAAGAACATTTCCTTTGGAACAGATTTATATTAATCCAGCATTTTGTTTTTCATAATGACCAAACTGTGTCCATGCTCACAAACAAAGTGGAGACATATCCCTTTACTGCTTTTGTTCTTTTGCATTTAGTATTTGGGGACATACTACCCCCATCTTAGAGATAACATTTACTCTTTAAGACTCTTTGATAAATTTCCATGAATTTACCCTTTTAGGAACTATCAAAATCAGTGGCCATCATCATGTCCTGTGGAAATGAATACCACAAATTAATTATGTTTTAGAGGAGGAGTTCCCAATCCCCTGGCCGTGATCCATTTGGAACCGGGCTGCATAAGCAGTGGGCAAGCGCGCATGCGCAGCTCCACTTGAGTGGGCATGGGCACTTGCACATGAAGCTCCATTTGCTCAGCTGGCACACGTGCCCACTGCTTCCACAAATGAAGCTGTGAACAAAAGTGCATTCATCTGCCACTCATGCAGAACCATCCCCTCTCCCACCTCACTGCTGACACCGCCAGTCCACAGAGCCAGAAAGGTTGGTGGTGTTCTGTCCCAGCCTACATAAGTCCTTTTTAAGCTCACAAGGAGAAACCCTTCTTCCAACAAGCAGGCTGGAACCGCAGGAAAAAAACAATCCCCTTTTATTATTCACAGACCTGAGTCAATGTCCAAGGCAAACAAACAGTTCACAGAAACTCGATTCCTCAATAGGAATGGTTGCCTTTGGCAACCAGCACCTCCCATACCTTCCCTTTTATTATGCAGCTTTTCTTGCTGGTGTTTTCATGCATCCTGGATATCTCCCAGCTGTGCTTCATCACTGTCCAACTCAGACTCCCAGCACAGCTGTGTCTCAGCCTGAGCATGAGTAGAGGGGCCAGGCTCCTCATCGGACTGTAAGTCTTGGAGTGCCTCAGAGCCTTCCTCTGACTCTGATGTCACTCCAAGCCCCTCCTCCTCCTCTGATTCCTCAGACTCAGCTGCCGGGTCCACTGGCTAGGGAGGAATCACAACAGGAGGCCACTATTTTAGAGGAAGAATTGTTTTATTTTGTATATATTAAATCTTCTTCCAGTTACTTTGACATAGTATTTTCAGAGAGGGGAAAAAAAATTCTGTTCATTTTGTCCATGTCATGTATGATTTAAAAAACCTTGATCATGTCCCTTATCCATTATCTTTTTCCAAGCTAATAGTAGCTTACATCATAGGAAAAATAACTGAGTTCCTGATTATTTTGGTATTTCATTTCTGTACCTTTTTCTGCTCTATTATATCCTTTTTCAAATAGTATACTATACATAGAACTTCAAATATAGAAGTGCATAGGTTTGTACAGGGGAATTATAATGTTGGCATTTTTACTTTTAGTGTCTTAATGATCTATAGCATCAATTTTATGTTATTCATAGCTGCCACCCATGAAGTTGACACCTCCATTGTATTATCCACTTTAACTTCAAGATTTTTTTCTTGGTTAGTTAGAGTCTAGTTCAGGGATCTTTAAACTTGGCTCTTTTATGACTTGTGGACTTCAACTCCCACAAGTCATAAAAGGGTCAAGTTTGAAACCCCTGGACTAGTCAGATGCATCAAGTTGTTAGTGAAATTAGAGGTTTTTGCCTAAGGATGCATCACTTCATACTTCCTAAATTTGAATTCCTTTCTTGCTTCCGTCCATTGAGAAACTGCCTATTCACTTTTACTTTGCTTTCTGTATTTTAGCCAGTTAGCTGTTGACAAAAGCACAGGTATTCACAGCCCATGGCCAGTACATTTACTCAAAAGCCTTTAATTAGAAACTTTTAAAAAGGCTTTCTTAGGGCTTTCTGATTATTGGTGTATCAAAAACTCTAAAAGTGGGTGAGGCAAGATTTATCTGCAAAATTCGTGCCAATTTTTCTTCAGCAAATCTTTCTCTTTGTTCTTAGTTCCTTTTAATTTGATTCCTCCTACCACTTTCTCTGAAACAACTGTTAATATAACTGGCTTATAATTCCTTTTTTTAAATGGCTGGTTTCTACTCCTCTGGGACTGAGTTTGATTTGAGCATTGGTAAATTAATGAAGCCATTGTGAAAGAATTCCATCAACAGCTATTTATCAAATGCAGGTTCCGCTTATAATAAAAGCTGTGTTCATGTTCTTGGACCTTTTCTCTTGCCTATGCAGTATAATGCTACTCTATTTTTGGCATAACAGATAGTTTCTACCTATCTTTTATTTTTTTGAAACCAAACTAGTCTGGTTTCAGACTACTTGACTATAGCTTTCGCAGAACTGTTCTTCCATTATCAGCCTTCACACTTTCCGAAATAACACAAGTGACAGGTTGCTGGAACTGAAAACGTACCAGCAACAACTTTTCACTTAGGCAACTACAAAAAAGAAAATCCTCTGACTCTTGCCTGAGATTACCCAAGTCTATCCCACCTCACAGTAAATAGAATTGATATTTTCTGTCGTGCTGGCTGGTGATCTTGGATGGATGGAATATGAACACATGGAAATCTGCCAATCAGTGCTCTTATATTGTCCCACAGTTAATTTGTAAGAGTGAGATCACTCTCAAACCTTGTTATTTAAGCAGATTAGAACTTGGCCATTGGACAATGCAGATTATATCTGATGGCTAGACATATACATAAATATGAGGCATGAAATAGACCAGCAAAGAATCTATTATTTTAGGAATAGGAATCAGGTATTGTATCCTAAAACATCTTTTCTAGATACCTCTGGCTGTGTAAAAATTTTCAGTTAATTCAGGGGATTTAAAATCAGTATTTTGTAGGGGGTTTTAAAATTTTCAGGCCATGGAAACTGTTAGCTAAAAAAGTAAACCTGGAACTACTGATCAAAAATTAAAGCTCTTGTGATAGAAAATTTACTGTTTCGGCAAACTTTTTTTTCCCTGTTTGTTTTGCTCTTAGGCTCTCACAAAACTAGAGTTCTATGGAATAATTTGAAAAACATTGGTTTATTGTATCAAACAGTATGCATTGTTCATGGCAAATGGCATATAGACATATATTTGACACTATGCAATAAAATGCAGAAGCACTTACATCTTTTGATGACTTTCTGTCTTTATACCAGTTATCATTGGAATTTTTGTATTTTTTATAAATGTTATATTTTCACTGAGCCTGAAGCACTGGCTTCATCTGGCAACCAGACATTAATGCCTAGCTAATGGAGACAGACAATCTGACTGTTTCTTCCATAACTTCCCTATACCAGTTTACTGTCCATCGTATTTTCTGGCTGATTCTTTTCTTTCTCAAGAGCATTTGCTGTCTTTACTGATTTCAGTCATGAATATAAAGCCTGCTCATACCTGTATACTTGTTCACAAAATTCTAGTTTCTACTAGATTCTTAAAAACTTATAGGCTTCTCCCATCCCACCGTGAAATAACAAAGATTATTTTATTTTAATGATTTCAAATAGAATTGGATTATATTTACTGTTTTGCGATAGTTATATTAATACTTACATCCTTAAATACTTTGCTTTCTAGGACTGACGTACCAGATTGCAATAAGAAGTCTTTACCTACATTAACAGTGCAGACAGCTGTAAAAGATCACATTGAACAAGAAATAAAAACCAGTACAATCAGTGAGCAAAGCTCTTTACCATGGTCTGGTAAAAATGTACCTATTGAGACAAATATCTATAGTGCTGATAGTTCAGTTTTTTCTTATATTGGTGAGAATGGAATCATGTCTGAAAAAGTTCAAAACAACTGTGAATCTTCATCTACCCATTTGCAAGTCCCTTGCCCGGTATCTCATACCAAGACTGTTAATTCCACTCCTACCCTTGCATTTTTCTTACAACAGAATAAACCCAAGCCTTGCTGTACTGAATCTGCTCCTTCTACTGGACATAAAACCAGCATGTACAGTAATAAGCATGATGGTGCAACAGAAACAGTTTACCAAAATCTTCCACCACCTTTACCACCAAAGAAATACACTCTGGCCCATTTGCACGATATAGAACAAGAATCCACTGTGGAGTTGAACTATACAGATCATCCAAAAATTGAAAAGCATGTTGTTATTGCTACTTCAAAAAGTATACCAGAAACAAGTTCATTTGCAAATAAAGAAAGATTGAAAGCACTTCATTACAATGAGTCCTCTAAGATGAGTTTTTCACCGAGCTTATTAGGAAAGGATTTATGCACTGCATCCAATAACCCTTTAAACAAACGGACTTGTTTTACAGAACCAAATTCTAGTTGCCTGGATGCAAATGCAAATGATGTTATATCGCTTACTACTTATTTTTCAGTTGATAACTGTATGACTGATACTTATAGGATTAAATACCACCAGAGACCAAAACTGTATTTTGCAGATACTAGTGGGTCAAACAAAGAAAGGTCTTTGTTACCTACTGGAATGCAGTTGGACACTACGTACCACCACACTTCTGAATCAAATCATGCCACATCTCAGCAGAAGCATAAATCTAATATTGGAAATGTGTAGTGTAATATGAATAATTTGGAAATGAATATAAATCCTTGGAACTCCAACCCAATGTGATGTTTAAGTTTACATACTTTAGCTACATTTCATTTGGAAAGTATACATTAATGAATTGTCCCTTGCATGTGCATGCGTGATAAAGAAATATCAAAGATGGTTTTATGCTTGTGGAAATGCCAATTTTGCATAAGTTCAATCAAAGTGGCTATTCTTTTAAATGAGTAACTTCTAAAATATTTAAACTTGCTTTCGTATGATAGATACAGTTTTCTTAAAATACCATTTCTTTTAAAAATGACTTGATTTAGAACACGGGTGTCAAACTTGCCGCATCATGTGATGTATCACGACGTATCGTGACTTTTTTCACATTGCCAGACCTGGAGTGGGCATGGCCTCCGCATGATGTAACCGGCCCACAGGCCAGCAGTTTGACACCCCTGATTTAGAACAGTTCAAAAGCCCATATATATATATATATATATATATATATATATATATATATATATATATATATATTTGAAAATAGGTTTTGGATCTGATTTCATAGTTGGTTAAATTTCTTACTAATTATAGCACTTTGTAGGTTATAAAACCTAAATCATGTATCCATTTGAAATTTCCATATTATTTAGACAATAGAACATTTTAAAGCACAATTGTTTAAATTTATTTTGAATGTTGAATTCTCATGAAAAAAATCTTTCACAGAATTTGAAATGGGGAGTATGATACATATTCTCAGATAAGCCCTTTCACAGATAAGTTGACCTTCACAAGTATAGACAGTAATTTGTACTGCTTTAGATTAAAGAAACAAGATTTAAATATAAGGATTATTCTTACGCACCAAAGGATACAATGCAATAACAAGGTAGTACAATGTTTATAATGGCCTTGAGAGTTTTTGTCTTATGAAAATTGTGTTCTTTGTGTAAAGTTTGTCACAAAAGGAAATTTTTAGTGATATGAATTGTTTACATGCACTTCATTTTCATGTAAAGGCACTTTCAAGCTTGCTATGTAAAAGTTGAATATAGTCTACATACACTGTACTACCTCAGTATGACAATATGGATTATTTTAGTATGTATGTACAGTATATATTTACCCACACACATGCTGTATCTACTATACTTAGTGTATGTATGTACACACACACATATATACAGTATATATATACACACAAAGAAAGTGTGTGTGTGTGTGTGTATGTATCAGAAGTGTGCCAAACACTTCAGTTTTGAAAAGCTCCCTTTCAAGTGAAAGATATATAGAGAGCTTTATGGGTTGATATAGATGGGCTGCATGTTGTAGCAATTTTTCAGGCTTTTGTGTCTGATGTCATTTTGTAGTTATGACTTCCCTGTGAACTGATTAGCTCTAGGACAAAACTTTCACAGTGTGAAATACTGCATTTTCTACACAGTTACAAGTGTATTAAATTGGCTTCCTGAGGAGCATGGTTCTTGTTAAAGACCTAAGCAGCCAGAGAGTATCAAGGAAAGCATTTCTGAAACACTTAGAAATTCTGTTTGTGAGATATTTAGAACGTTTGCAAGAAAGTGAAAAAGTGCATTAAATGGATATTCATTTCCCCTTATAATCAGGTACTCTTAATTAGAAATTTAATAGTCAACACTACTGTTTTGCCAAATGAAACAGGCAACATAAAAATTTTTATGACAGAATTATTTTAAAACCCCTTGTTAGACTAATCAAAAATGTATTAAATGCTGGAAGCATATGCTGATATTAGAAATATGCACAGAATGGCATAATCATTAAAAACGTACATTTTGTAGTAGACAAATATTAACCATTTATCTATTTTCTTGAATCAGTTATCCAGGATCGCATTATTATCTTTTAAATATTTGAAATAATGCCTTAATGAAGTCTTAAATTTTATTTTAATATACAGTTTATTTTATGGTAGCTAGAGTTTTAAATAGCAATAGTTTCTTGCATCGTGCAGTATTTTAAATACAAAAATTATGCATAGCAGTTGTTTGTAATAAAAAATATTTAAGTATATTGTTGGGCTGCAAAAAATGTGATAAATTGTATAAATATATTTTTATATTAAAGCTGCTGTGGAGAATATTTAAATCATTGCATGTATAGAAAGTACTCTGGTTTTCTTAAAGTCTTATTTAATACTACCAGCAAAGGCACAAACTGATTCTGATCAGTTCAGCCTGAAAATAATTCCTTTTTGAAGATTGAAATGGAATACACTTGCAGTTTTTAGGTAAAAATGTATGACACAGTACCTTTTAAAATTCTTTGTATAAGCATTTTTTATTAAAATAATAGCTACAAAGATGATCCTGAAAAAATGTAAATGTGTTTTAGTTTTCAGCATGATAGCTGCTATGTGTTTTGGAACACCATTGTAAGTTTGCACTATTAGATTAAATACAAATTTGTGATTTTGTCCAAATGGAGAAAATGCTATTAAAATTGGTGGTTGAGCCTACCCAGAACATTATTAGTAGTGTAAAAATAGAGATGCTTGCATGCTTCCCTACAATAAGGAATATGGTTACATTAAAGTTCCACATTTATGTTAATGAAGGAGTCTTCCTGCTCTCTAAACTTTCAGAGAACAAATAATGTCTGAAAGATATGGGCAGTCCTTGACCTACGACCATTCGTTCAATGCGCCTTTGAAGTCACAACAGCACTGAAAAAAGTGGCTTATGACCATTCCTTGCACTTAACAACCATCACATAAATCTCTGTCATATGATAGTGATGTGAGTGTTTGACCCCTGGTTCACGCAACAGTTGAAGTGTCTTACAATCACCATTTGTGACCTTTCCAGCCAGCTTCTGATAAAGTCAATGGGAAGGATGGGAAAGTTACAAGTCAGAGTCACATATTTCCCTTAGCAACCGCAGTGATTTGCTAAGCAGCAAAAAGCTCATAAAACTGGATCAGGCCACATGCCTCACTTAACATCTGCCCTGCTTAACAAATTTTCCAGCCCCACTTATGGTCATAAGTTGAAGACTACCAGTAGGTCTAGTGACTAAGATGTAAGATTAGAGGCAGAAGACCGGAGTTTTTGTCCTGTCTTAGATACAAAACCAACTGAGTGACTGAGGCAATTACTCTCTCAGCCCTAGAAAGAACGCACTAGCAAAATATTTCAGAAGCTGTTCCCCAAAAATTGCAGTCAAGACTGAGTTGAAGGCACAAACAAAGATTGAATATCTTTTTTCACTGACAGTATCTTACCTATTTTCTTCTCCATATCTTCAAGTTAGTCTTGACTCCTGACAAGTGCCTGGACAAGTCCTTTGCTGTCTTGACATATTTGAAAGTAGTTTGCCATTACCTTCCTAGGAGTAAAAGCGAGTAAGCTGGTCCAACCCGCCCAGCTGGCTTTGTACCTAAGATGAAACTGGAACTCAAAGAGTTCCCTGTTTTCTATTCTGGTGCTTTAACCACCACACCAGACTGACTCTCCATCTTAACTATGAATGTAACTCCACATTGTTGGTTTCTTTTCATGGAGCTGACTTAGCTTTTAATCTTGTTGATATCTATCATGCTTGAGTGCTTTTTCAGAAGTTACTGGTTTGTTTAAAGCATGTATAGTTAACATATTCATGATTACAAATAAAACCGAGAGAAGTAACTTCAACTCAAAGTAACTAAAATTAATTTTTGATATTTTAAGTTTTTTTAAATTAAAAAAGTCTCATTTCATTCCTGATATGCAGGTAATATGTAATAATGTAACACCTTTATAGGTAAAAATGGAACTATAAGTACTGGAATCAAAGTGTACAATTGAAAGCTGTTACTGAGTTAATTTGAATTTGTAATATTTATGTAAACACTAATGTGAATTACCTGTTAAGAATATTACTGTATTTTAAAAATGTAAAGCAAATGTTCATTTCCTGTATAAATGAGAAATGTTGGATTTGTGAGTACATGTGCTTTAAAGAAATATAAAAGTCTTAATAGACATTTTCGCACAAATTTATTGCTATTAAATAATGGGAATTTTGTCAACTTTTTATAGCTGGCTGTACAGTCTTAATATTTGCTTACAATATTTGATTTTTTTACTTTATTTTATAATTGTTCCCTTTAGACTATATGGCTTTTGTAATGTTAAATACATTTAACATGTGTAATAGAGGAATATCTTTTTAAAACTTTTAAAAATTGTCCTGCATGTACCTGCTGATAAAACAAAAATAAGATATCCAATATCTCTCTCTGCTTAGTTTACAGAAGTATATTTTTTCTGTGAAACAGGAGCAAATCATTATTTGTTAGTTTTAAGAATCCAGTTCTCAGTTTGAGTGTAAATATCTGCTAGCAAATAATACAGTGACAAACATCTGGTAAAAAATGTAACACTTGCATTCAGCTCCATATCATAGTATCACTCTGAACTACAGCTGATCTGTAAAAGCAGATGAAATGTTCAATTCTACAAATGAATATTTGTTAAATCCTTACTCATTTAAATAAGCCAGTTTTCATTTCACTATGCTAAGTTTGCCAAGACTCCACATTTTTAAATGGGTAGGAGTGGACATACTGACACCATAAAAGATTCTAAATAACTTACTAGACATATTTAATAAATATGTATATGTAAGTAAATCATGAGGTATGGATTGTTTTACTTGAATTCATCGTGATGGTCTTCTTACTCAGAGTATGGTTATCAATCACCCATTTCTTTAAGACTCTTATCCATTCTGATGAATTATATTAGACCCTACAGTAAAACAAGTGACGGTGAATTCAGTTCTATTCGTAGTACTTATAACTCTATTGCATTACAGTAGGTTGACTTTCTCAACTCAGAAAATTAAGAGAGAACCTAGTATTTTGGGGCACACTCCTATTATTTGCTTGTTTAGAATTTGAGAAGAAAATTCTAAATATTCAGTTTGTCAGAGAAGAAACGGACTGTATTGCTATCATCATTGTATTTTGTAAATGCAGACCAGAATTCACATTTACATAATTGAAGGTTTGTTTATTTCATTATTAGTTGAGGGAAGAACAAATTTAGAATATTAACTTAGGACAAAGAATGCAAGTTATGATATTTATTAATATATTTGATTCAATCACTTCAGACTTTACTGCTTGGCTATACAGTAAATTCTTGTGGAGGAAGTGACACATCTACTTACATAGGTTGAACAGCAATTCTTTAAATATAACCCTCGCCCTCAAATTTCTGACATTTTTAGTTCAAGAATCCCCCTCCAAAGTTTCTGAATGAAAATAAGCCCAAGTTCGATCTCAATATCAAATTAACTTCACCCTACCTCTACCAATGCTTCAGGTCTTGTGCTCAACACAACAAATTTTTACAACCCAAGTAGAATGTAATTAATTCAATGCATAAAGCCCTTGGTCCCAGCCTGACAAAAATGGGGAGAATCCATTTTCTCTAGGATATAAATGTAAATAAATGTTCAGTTCATATATTGAGAGTGGAGCACAAAACTGATTGAAAGAAAAACATTATTTCAATTATGAAAATTAACAGGAATGTCTACAGACTTACTTTTCAATCTACTTTTAGAACATGAAACTCCAAAAGGGCAGATCCAAAGCATAATGGGGATCAGGACCATATTAGACACAGCAAAATTTGTTCAGGTGGTTGGTCTGTTTACATACCATAAAAATGACCATAAAAACACCATCGACATAGTAGTCCAAGCACACGTTGCTGAAGGCACAAAGCTGAAGGCACAAAGTACTTTAAAACTTCAAACAGAGCATATGAGAAGAATATATGCAACTTCTTTACATAAAAGCAGCTAAAACAGTGCTCAGAATTGATCGTTTACATTTTCTCATTTTATGCTAGGAGTTCATCATAAATTATTGTTACAGAGAGATCTGTCTCCAGTCCAGAGTTGATTGCTGAAAATAAACAACTTCAAACTTAATTGAAAGTCACTTCAATGTCAGTGTTATATTTAACGTAAGACACAATCTGCACTTATTGAAGAATAATGTGAAACATGACAGTTCACAGAGCAAGTTCACCAGCAAAAATATCTCAACAGTTCAAATACAGAAAGAGTAGTTGTTATTGAAAATTCTGAAGTAACAGTTTTCCAATCTTTTATTTTTGGTTCTGAAGCAAAAACAGCTAAAGGAGTAATATTGGCTGGTTTTTCTTGAAGGCAGTCTGGTTGTCTGTTGGATAAAGAAAACAAAAATTAGATCCATCAGTGGAAAAAACTGTACCCAATATAATCCTGTCACATCAGACTTCTAGTACAGCATCATCAGTTGCCCGATAAACCTCAAAATAGTACATAACTTATTCTGTTGTTCCTTGCCAACTGATTATTCATAGATGATTTTTTTTGCTTCTAGTCATATATTTGTTCCAGTTGTTAGTCACCAAAACTCTGTATTTCCCGAATGTTGATCCACTTTTAAAGCTATTTTATTAGCCACTGATACTTCTGGTTGAACCATATTATAAATTATAAATTAATTCATCATTTTGTATTAGATTTTTCAAGCATTGTACAGGTAGTCCTCAAGTTATGAGTGCAATGGAGCCTGCCCATTCCACTCATAACTCAAAAACTTGTAGAGTAAATCTCATACCTCGAACGAGATCATTCCCTTGCTTATTAAAATGCATACGGCTCATTAAGCGAACATGAGGTATCTCAGGGTGGGGAAGGCCATGGAGGGCCTAGTGATGGAACAGGCCCCCAAGGACTCCCCAACCCACTAAGATACCACATGCTTCCTCCTTCCTTCCTGACACGGACTCACTTGTAAAAGATCTGTCTCCTCTCTTCCGTGGTTCCTGCTGCCGCCTGGATTTGAGGCAGGGAATGCTTCTGTGTCCCTCCCCGTGGCCTGATCTGGGCTCCGAAGGCCTTTTCCAGGCCACTGCCACCTGGATTTGAGGCCGGCAAACGCTTCTGCGCCCCCCCCCCCATGGCCCAATCGGGCCTGGAAAACGCCTCTGGAGCCTGGATCGGGCCATGGGAAGCACGCAGAAGCGTTCCCTGGCCTCATATCTGGGTATCAGTGGCCTGGAAAAGGCCTCCGGAGCCCCGATCCAGCCTCCGGAGGCACCTGGAAGCATCCTCCAGCTTTGGTTCCGTTCTCTGTTGCAGAGAACCAAGGCCTAAAGTACCATGAGATCACGCGAGATCAGTAGTGTGAGATCTCGCCCCACTGATCTGCGTGATCTTGCGTTATTTTAGGTCTCCATTCTCTGCGTACACACCGAAGGCCTGGAGCAGCCAAGAAAGCAAAGGATCTCAATCTTCGTAAGGTGAGTATTGAAGGCCTCGTGCCTAGGGAGACCCAGCACGGGGGTGGGGAGGGAGGGAATAACCAGGGTGAATGTTGCAGAGCCACTGCAGTCGCTCGTAAGGGCGAATGACTGCCGTGTTGCTGCAAGATTCATAACTTCGGGACTTGCTCGTAAGCATTAGGGGGCACTTATCACATAACTTTGAACAAATGTTAAGTGAACGCTCGTAACTTGGGGATCACCTGTATAATGTTATGGAGCCATAATAAGACATAACCAGACAGCCAATATTTTTTCCTTTGTTGCATAAAGTGATTTACATTTTTGCTTAGCCTGTCTTGATTGCAACAGGTAAAAAACAATCATATCCATTAAGATATAAATGGCATTCAATTTTTTTTAACTGCAAAGAGTTCTATCATCTCGTTTTCTGAATTAGTCCAACAGTCTCAATCACTAACCCCAAAATGGAATTATATTTTTTTAGTAAATAAAATAAGACAATTTACTTGATTAGTGCAGTTAAAAATCTTACTTCAAAGGAATTACAAGCCATAATTCTGGATTAAAAAAACTACCCATTAATCCAGTATAGATAAGAAGTTTCATATTCATGCTTCTGAATAATTTAAAACTGAATTTTTCAAACACACACACACAAAAACCCTATTCTGAAAACTTGGTATTTCATAAATTCAGTTGTTCAAAAGTTTTAAACATATCACTTCCTTAGAATTAGACAACAACAACAGAGAAGAAACAGATAAAAGAGACAACTGAATACAAATTTAAGGATAGAGACTTAAAGATGGAACCTAACAAAACAAAGAAGTATGATTCAACCCAAGTGGAAAAAAATTTACAAGAAATACTGGATTTGGAAAAGACAACTTATACTTTAACACCACAAAATAAATTTAAGGATAAGAAAAAAGATTGGACAAAATGGACTGCAGAGATGCCAGGAAAAACACTAGAATTGGAGAGACAAAAAATGATAAGAGAAGCAGAGAGAAAAAGAAATAAAAAGATTTTCAAATGAATGGGCAAATGCCTCTCACAAAGATATTGTACTTGACTTACCTTTTATATCTACATTAAATCTACAAGAATATGGAAAGATTCTTTGACTCAGCAGAACATATTGATTAAGAAAGATACTGGGCAAAAGAAAAAGGCTAAAGTGAAAATTAAGAAAATAGACGATGGGGCCTATCAGAGAGAATATTTAAAAAAGAAACACCTGTTCGAATATGGTTAAAGAAATAGAAAAATTTTGGATGTGAATTTGACTTTAAGAGGGAAGAACCCCTCGAATAACATAGTGCTTTCTTTTTCTTCTTTTTTATTTTATTTCTTGATATGAGTAATATAAAAGAGTTGGAATGGCTTATATAAAGGAAATGTTTTAGATATCTAAAGGTGATTGACTTTTAAGAAAATTACAATGGATTAAAAATGTTTTGAATAAGAGTTAAAAGACTAGAAGACTAGATTTATTGGAATATTTAAAAATT